ATTATATGGAACAATTCAATCCCTACAAATAGAGTTGAACATGTAAAAAAATGTCAAAAAATTTCTTATTTTGATATCTTCAAGTCCAATACAAATTTCAACTCCCAATAGGGATTTCAAATAGAATTTTAACAAGAATTTGATAATTAAACTTGAAAAGGAATCCACGATAACATTCCAATTAGAATCCTTTTGACGTGCACGTTATTTAAAACCTTACAATTATTTCAACAAGAAATTTGAATCACACCCAAATTCTAACAATTGATAGCCTTTAAATTACTGGTCGGCCGCAAAATTACTGGTTGCTTATGAATGGAAAATCCAAAGTCACATACCATCCGAATTCTCGTGCCAAAGATACGGGTTTTTTTATCTCAATAGCCGATCAATGAGCTTGGAAGAGTTGAAATATTATCACAGCATTATAATTTGAGGACCGAAATAGTAAAAGTACACCACCACGACCTTAACAAAATCAAGAACTATAGAGCCTGTTTGGCTAAGCTTATAATAAATAATCAACCCGCAGAATACGATAGGGAAACTCTTAGGCTTCTCCTACAACATTGAGCCATTGAGAAGAAATCAAGAAACAGAAATGGAAAATTTTCCCCCTCAAAGAGGGACTTTTGATTTTCATTTTTAAAAATGGGTGAAAAATCGTCGGCTATACAGAGAGGGGCAACCTTAGACGAAATGGTGGGCAATGGCTGCCCCACCCGGTATGTTTATCAAAATAGCCTTTGACCAAGTTTTTAAAAAAAAAAAAAAAAGAGGGAAAATGTTATTATTTGTGTAGGGTCGAAAATACCCCCATCAAGGAAAGAAGAGAAGAGAAAACAGAGAGAAAAAAGAAGAGAAAAAAAAGAAAAAATCAGCCCGGACCGCTCAACGTCGCCTACGGACTGTCTGGACCTCACCAACTTCGACCAAGATCAGAGCTACCTCGATTCGCCGGAGACCGTCATTTTCTGGAAGGTTAGACATGTTTTCTATAAATAACTACTTCGAATTTGTGAAAGTTTGAATGTTTAGGATATGAATATGGGTTAAATTCATGTTTTTATGGTTAAAATGTAAGAAAATATCGAATTTGAGGTTAAAATGTTGAAAAAGAGTGAAAAAAGGGACGGAGCTCGCCGGAAATGGAGTTTCCAGCGGCTCCGTCGGTGTTCGTCCGTAACAGACCAGAAATGGTCCGTTACGAACCATTTCTGGTCCGTTACGGACCACAGGGATGGTCCGTTACGGCTACCGGACCAGTCCAGACCAGTCCGGATACACCGACCCGAATTTTGGTCCGGATCGGCTATCCGGCCCAAATTCGGGCCCGAACCCGGATTTGGGTCAAAAATAATTTTTTTTTTCAGAATTATTGTTTTATTTTTGTGTTAAGAAATAAAATGAAATATAAAATAAATTATATATTAAGAGAATTAACGAAATATTTAAAGAATAAATTAAAAAAAGCAATATCTTTTTTACTTAATGAACTAAGATAATGAATTAAAGAAATAGTAAAAGGAAAAATCGAATAGATATTATTCAAATAAATAATTGAAATAGAGTAATTAAATATGAAATAAATAATATACATAATTAACGAAATATTTAAAGAATAAATTAAAAAAAGCAATATCTTTTTTACTTAATGAACTAAGATAATGAATTAAAGAAATAGTAAAAGGAAAAATCGAATAGATATTATTCAAATAAATAATTGAAATAGAGTAATTAAATATGAAATAAATAAAACACAGGATTAACAAAATATTTAAAGAATAAATGAAATTGAATAATATTTTTTTACCTAACCAATTAAGATAATTAATTAAAGAAATGGTGAAACGAAAAATCGAATAAAAATTATTATTTTTATTCAAATAAATAATCGAAATAAATAATATACATAATTAACGAAATATTTAAAGAATAAATTAAAAAAATAATATTTTTTTATTTAACGAACTAAGATTATGAATTAAAGAAATTGTAAAAGGAAAAATCGAATAAATATTATTAAAATAAATAATCGAAATAGAGTAATTAAATATGAAATAAATAAAACACATGATTAACGAAATATTAAAAGAATAAATTAAATTGAATAATAATTTTTTACCTAACCAATTAAGATAATTAATTAAAGAAATAGTGAAACGAAAAATCGAATAAATATTATTATTTTTATTCAAATAAATACTCGAAATAAATAATATACATAATTAACGAAATATTTAAAGAATAAATTAAAAAAAGCAATATATTTTTTTATTTAACGAACTAAGATAATGAATTAAAGAAATTGTAAAAGGAAAAATCGAATAGATATTATTCAAATAAATAATCGAAATAGAGTAATTAAATATGAAATAAATAAAACACAGGATTAACGAAATATTTAAAGAATAAATTAAATTAAATAGTATTTTTTTACCTAACCAAATAGTGAAACGAAAAATCGAATAAATATTATTATTTTTATTCAAATAAATAATCGAAATAGAGTAATTAAATATGAAATAAATAAAATACAGGATTAACGAAATATTTAAAGAATAAATTAAATTAAATAATATTTTTTACCTAACCAAATAGTGAAACGAAAAATCGAATAAATATTATTATTTTTATTCAAATAAATAATCGAAATAAAATAATAAAATAAAAAATGAATAATATATATAATTAACGAAATATTTAAA